CATATATGTATATACATATATGTATATACATATATGAATATACATATATATCAAATATATAACATTCGTAGCAACCAATAAATCACGAAAGCCCGTCATATAATCGCCCATAGAACTCCCTCGATCTTCTGGATGCATGTCATTATGTAGCTGGTCACTGCAATGACTTCCAGATACATACATACATATAAACATACACACATACGCACATACAAATATACATACATACATACGTACAACATACATATATATATATATATATATATTACAATTGACTAACACTCAGCATACCGTAGTTGACCACCAAGTTAAGGGCTTTGACATCCAGGCCTCTCGCCGCCACACTCGTAGCAATCAACAGATTACAAACGCCTCGCTTAAAGTCATCCAATACACTCCCGCGGTCTTCCTGGTGCATGCCTCCATGCAGCGCTTGGCACGGATAGTTAGCTGATAATAGGTCTTTCAGTAACATATCGGCTTTCTCCTGCTTTTCGACAAAGATCAGGACGAGGCCTTTGCTCAAGTAGTATCCCAGCAGCTCAAGTAGTTTGAGGAACTGGGTAAGGATTAGGGTTGTAAGGGTTCGAGATTAGGGGTTTGAGGCCTAGGAATTTGGGTATCAAGGCGTAGAATTTTTTGGAATTAGGAACAAAATTCAGGATTGAAATTCAGGATTTATGATAGCAGCACTGCAGATAGAAAGTGCCAGAGACTTGTTGGTATTATATGTTTGGTTTCGTCGGCTTCTATCACTTGCGAGGACGCATGATAGGCATGCGCGTGCAATTCTAGCCACCTAATCTGCATCAGATATGAAGGCGCATAAAGAGGGCCTAAAGCGGGCTTAAAGTGGGACGAAAGGGGGCCTCCTATACGCAAATATATGTGTACCCTGTCCACTAGATACACAGAAACATACGCACATACTACATTCTAATCTAACCAAGCAAGGAGATACATGGTGCGGTACCGACATACAATCCACACACAGACATCAAAAGAACAGGGCAGGCCTTTCGTACAAGCCCTCGGGATGATCCCTACGGGGCGGGAGACGATTATAGTTCTAAGGTTTTAAGGTTTAGGGTTTTAGCAAGCTTCACACTCTGGTGCGTCACCCCTCCTCTCTGAGAGAGTTCCCTGGTTGACACACCTTCTCATCCTCGCTGAGCACGACGACGTTCTGGTCTATGTCGAACGATACCACACTCCGGCCACCCACGTTGATCTCAATCGGATTCTTGTTCAGGATCTTCCGGGCGAGAGCTTCCATCTGAGAAGAGGGTGAGGTAGTGTAGTATGGGGGGTAGCCGGAAAGTATGAGTGGGTATGGGTGGAGATAAGTATGAGTCAATACGGGTGGAGATAAGTATGAGTCAATACGGGTGGAGATAAGTATGAGTCAATATGGGTGGAGGAAAGTATGAGTAAGTATGGATGGAGGAAAGTATGAGTCAATATGGGTGGATATGAGTATGAGTAAGTATGGGTGGAGATAAGTATGAGTCAATAAGGGTGGAGACAAGTATGAGTAAGTATGGGTGGAGATAAGTATGAGTAAGTATGGGTGGAGGTAAGTATTAGTCAATATGGGTGGAGGAAAGTATGAGTCAGTATGGGTGGAGATGTGTAGTGAGTAAGACTAGATGGTGGTAGTATATAGCCACACAAAATAGAAAGATTGATGTGTTCCAGCCACATTCACTCACTCACTTATTTGAAGAACGTGGTACCAGACAGCGCCGTATGTGCCCAAATGAACAAACATGTCCAGACATGTACATACATATACAGATACACCGACACACGCACACACACAGCCAAGCCCAAAGTCATACACACTCACCCGTCTGGGGAACGTGGTACTGAAAAGCACCACCTATATACAAACGAGCAGTCACACACAGCCCTAAATACCAAAACTCACCAACCCTAAATACGCATCCACATACACCTACACACAGCCACACACAGCCATACTCACTCAACTGTCTGGGGAACATGGCACTGAACAACACCACCTATATGCAAACGAGCAGTTATATACATACACATACACATACACACAGCCACACCCACTCACCTGTCTGGGGAACGTGGCACTGAACAGCACCGTCTGCCGGTTCTTGCGCGTGTTATCCACCACCTTCATAACTTGCGGTTCGAATCCCATGTCGAACATTCGATCGGCTTCGTCCAGTACCAGATACGTCACGCGCCTGAGGTTCGTCACACGCCCACTATTGGCGCAGAGCATATCAATCATTCTTCCCGGCGTGCACACGATGATCTCTGCGCCTCTCTGTGGGAGGGTGTGAGTGTGTGTCCGTGGTAATGTAAGTGAGTTGGTGTATATGTGTGGTGATGTAAGTGAGTTGGTGTATGTGTGTGTCTGCGTGTATGTGTGTGTTATTCTAAGTGAGTTGGTGCATGTGTGTAGTAATGTAAGTGAGTAGGTGTATGTGTGTGGTAATGTAAGTGAGTTGGTGTATGTGTGTGGTAATGTAAGTGAGTTGGTGTATGTGTGTGTCTGCGTGTATGTGTGTGGTAATGTAAGTGAGTTGGTATATGTGTGTGGTAATGTGTGTGTCTGCGTGTATGTGTGTGTTATTGCAAGTGAGTTGGTGTATGTGTGTGGTAATGTAAGTGAGGAGGTGTATGTGTGGTAATGTGTGTGTCTGCGTGTATGTGTGTGTTAATGTAAGTGAGTTAGTGTATGTGTGTGGTAATGTAAGTGTCTGCTTGTATGTGTATGCGTGTTAATTGAAGCAAGCGAGTGTACGTGTGTCCCACTAGACGTGTGTCCCACTAGACGTGTGTGAGTGGTGTTGTGCAGTCCTGTCTACATCTTTCAAAGGATTTTTAGGGTTTCAGGGTTTTTAATACAACGACACTTGAGAGACCAGGCTGGAAAGTCTAACCATCCGAGCAAACCCCCCACTCAAACGCGCCGTAAAGCCAGTGGGTGTGTAATAGTGACGTAATGCGAGTTAAAAAGACAGTATGTATGTGTAACAGCGCCCTAATGCGAGTTAAAAAGACAGCGTATGTGTGTAACAGTGCCCTAATGCGAGTTAAAAAGACAGCGTATGTGTGTAATAGTGTGTGTGTGCATATGTTCGCGGGAGTGACTGTGTGCGTTTATGTTGGGCATACGTTACATCCTTGAGTAGGCGGATGCGTGTTCGTCCGAGACTCTTTGCCAACCCATTCCCACCCAACCTCACTCAATATTAGTTTATAAATCTATATCCGTTCCTCGTTTTGGTATATATATAATTTTCTCCAAATATTGTTATGAATATTTATCCGATTTCCTCCCATAATAGTCAGATCGAGCTAATGAAAGACCGGAAAACGGAAGTCTATAATAAAAAAACCCCCATTTCTGGACAAGCCACTTGACCTACCTTCAAATCGGCTATTTGTTCACTAATACCAGATCCTCCGTACACACAGACCGCCCGCACGCCGCTGACTTTTGCGAATTTGCGACATTCCTGTAATAGTAGTGTGCAATTAATACCTAGAAAATTTGCGACATTTCAAGTGGTTGTAATGATGTAATTGTACAGTTCAGTCAGCAGATTTGCGATATTTCTGTGATTGTAGAAATTATAATTCAAAAAATTGGTGCAAACTCAGTGATTGAAGCAGGCTAATATACAGAAGATTTACGATTTGCCCCATTCCTCTGATGCTGGTATGTAGATATGTCGCAAACTATTCCTGGTGATTATTGTAGCATACAGATATACAGCAACCTCAACGCGCTACATTCCTTTATGGTTGTGTGCAAACACAATGTTAATACATAAACCTCAGCACATTTGCGACATTCTTATGGCGCTAGTAGGTAGATACGTCGTAAACTATTCCTGGTGATTATTGTAGCATGCAGATATACAGCAACTTTAACTCGCTACATTCCTTTATGTTTGTGTGCAAATACAATTTAAGTACATAAACCTCAGCACATTTGCGACATTCCAATAATCGTAGTAGGCAAATGCATAATACGCTTAGCCAATTTGCGACAGCTAAGTGATTGTAGCATGCAAGTAGATAGCATATAACCAATAATATCTCTGTACAAATCCCACGGGTCAAATGTGAATTTTATAATTGGGGACAACTCAGAAAATCAAGAAAATCGAGTCAAGTATCAACGCAGAGATGTTCGGTACTGGACTGACGCAAGACTCCCAGTTTGCAAATGGCCACTGATTTAGCGCTGCAGTGACAACCATGCAAACAGATGTAATCCTGGCGGTTGGGTTGGTTTGTGATTGTACTTACGCTTATGCATACATATGCATAAACAAATTTATACCTATAAGTAAATATATATATGTATCTATATTTCCAAATATATACATAAAGAATATGTACAATATATCTGAGTGAATAAATATTCACACAAGTCCGCAGAGGGCATACCGTGTATATTTGTATAGCAAGTTCGCGCGTTGGTGCCATGATCATGGCAATAGGACCATCTCCTTGCTCTATTTCTGGTTGATCAAGGATATGACGGAACATTGGCACGAGGAAAGCGATAGTTTTTCCGCTACCCGTCTGTAGAGACAAGTCATTAAAGTAGATTAGTATATGTATATATATATATATACATACATACATATATATATATATATATATATATATATATATATATATATATATATATATATATATATATATATATATATATATACTATACTACTACACTACACTANATATATATATACT